GCATGTATATTTCCATTGCTGTGCCAGTCGGAAATCGATTATAATGTCATGATATTAACAATGAATAGAAAGTGTCTGCCTCTATATGATATTGTCCTCCAAACCTGTTATGATATAATATTTCTGATTATTTTATTACAAAAGTTCTTAATTCTGTTTTTATTTTATTTATTTTATATTATTATTTTGAGGAGGTGACTGAGTAAAAATGAAAAGAAAGATCAATATCTTGAGGAGGAGGTGCATAATGTTTCAGCACAACCAAGCTATTAACACCTCCAATTCTCATAATGTTTCAGCACATCCAAGCTTTTAACACCTCCAAATCTCATAATGTTTCAGCACAACCAAGCTATTAACACCTCCAAATCTCATAATGTTTCAGCACATCCAAGCTATTAACACCTCCAAATCTCATAATGTTTCAGCACATCCAAGCTATTAACACCTCCAAATCTCATAATGTTTCAGCACAACCAAGCTATTAACACCTCCAAATCTCATAATGTTTCAGCACAACCAAGCTATTAACACCTCCAAATCCCAAAATATTTCAAGACAACAAAACTAGTAACACCTTCAAATCCCGAAATGTTTCGGGACAACCAAGCTATTAACACCTCCAAATCCAAAAATGTTAATTCTAACCAATTTTCTTTAATTTTCGATTTTTTCTAATTGCTAGAATATACAAATATACTTAGTTCGTCATGGCTATATTTACTTCATAGGAATAATCGATTATGTATAGATTAAGTCTTGTTTGTGGCTATCGACAGTAGGCATTTGCGTTACACTTGTATGTATTTATTAGCAAAACGGTTAATTGCAATCGTTTCTGTATGAATGCTCCTATATAAGCATTGACGATCGGTGACGACAAATGACACAATAATATATATCATAAATACTGTGCCCTTTATTCTTATGTTCACGAATGATAACGGGGATGTTTTGTTCTCTTTTCCGTTTGAAGGTTGGTGTTGTTGTTTTATTGCACAGGGAGAGAGGAAGCAAACTCTCCACTACAACTGTGACTCATCAATACAATGCTTGGATTATATGAACGCTTCTTCACACACCAGTCAGCAGTCCAAAATACTTACAGCCTGTAGCTGTACGTGATGGGGAGAATATTTGCATCTTGAGATCATCTGTACAAGTAACTAAATGTTTGTTTCTCATGATATTGCCAACGTGACTTTTCACACCATTTCCATTTGTCTGTGACTATTAATTATTAAATATTTTCAAGCTAACCAGTCTTTCGTCCGTCATACATCGACTATACAGACATCCACTCTCGTCAGTAAAGTTATCCCGTACACTTGTGCTCGTTACATTAGCAGGATCCCGTTGTATACACTACACCTTCCAGACATTCTACGACAGTAGTAGTAGATATTTTAATGCACGCGCATCCCTCAATGAAATACGATACGGACGAGATAGTCACACAGCGTACTCCATATTGCACGGCAGACTGTCAGCCAGGGAGAAGAGTGGAGATGGTTGTGATTGTTACTTCTCTGCTGAAATACTGTACAGGATATATATAAATGCATATGAAAACTACAGCTTACTGATTCCGATTTGCAAGAGGAAACAGCAAAAACAGGTAGAGTATATAACAGTCAATTGTTTCTGGTCTGAAAAAAATGACGAATCTTTTCATTTTTAACACGTGTTCCCTTAATTATTTCGCATTATTTTTATCTGCTAGCTATGGATACTTATGATATGTGTAGTCATGTGTGGAATGTAATGTGTATTAGGCGTTCTATTTATAGATTTTATCACAGGTAATTACTATACATTGTTTTAAGTTAACAGCAGGAAAGTCCCGTGTTTGAGAATAAGTTACATATATTCATGTTTAACCGTTTAAGTATGTAAAACATCTTGAGAACGTTAAGTTGTTTGAACTATATATAATGTTTTCATGATCTGTATAATGATTATCTTCTCTTATACGCCCAGTACATCGCCTCTCAGCTTTCGCCTAATTTGTCATCTCGTTGGCAAGTTGACATCTTCAGTGAATCAAACGAGCGACTACCATACACAATACCGTTTATATATATATATGTATATATCTGTGACCCTGACCCCGAGTTATAATTCCGCTGTGGACATGCTTAGTGGCGATCGTTCAAGCATCATCATTGCCTAAGCGTAGCCAAGGCTATAAATCGATATTGTCGCGACTTTATAACATGCAGTGTAGTGTAGTTATAAAAACTTCCGGTTCTGTTTTAGTTGGGATCGGTGTGGTACTCTGGTCAGTTTTCAATACTTAGCAGGTCAAATAGGCGGTTTTTTTTTTAGAAAAATATGACTAGGCTGACATTTCTGCTGCTGAATGTAGTGGACATCAGTTGTGAATGATACAATTTTTACCTCTTTAACAAAGACATAGATACCACTAATGTTATTAAATCATCATGTTTCTTATTTGATCATGTCAATGAATGTTGACAATTGCATGATGATATTGTCATTTTCTTTATATCATACCAATATAAACAACGTAAAACATAAACAAAAAAGAAAGAAAAATCGAAATAGTGTATTTTTCGACACGACAAATAATTCTCTTTCAATTAAATTTTGTAAAAGCCCAATAGGCATTTAATCAGTGAATGAAAAACAGATTCTGATCCATGGTCTAACAACACTACATGCCGTCGGTAATTTTCTCACTTGCATATTAATCCCGCTTGACGATCATAAATGACTCTGGCACGTCTTGAAAATGACGTCGTGAATAATTCATTATCCCGAAAGGTCAATGAGTCTCCTCACCTCGTTGTTAATTAGTGACAATTTCTTTTTTTTTTTTTAGATATGTTTTATCGATAAGGTGTTGGAATGATTTTCAAACAGTCTGTATTAAAAGTTTTTTTCTTTTATAATTTATAAGCTATGTAATCAGCTACACAGATTTTATCAGAAAATTGAGCTCAAGTTGAACTCTAAAAAATATATAAAAAAAAGATAGATAATACATCCGTGTTCGCTTTTGTTATTGCATCGTGTAATAAATAACATCAAGGAAAACTAACTGCTATACAGACTGTTTTATCATTAATACGTCACCAGTCTACACACTGTAGTTCATTAGCATCTCGTGTCTAACAGCAGTCAATTTGCCACTTTTTAACTTCTCTAAAACTCGAATAGGTCTTGCATACATTTTGAATAGGGCAACAGATGTAGTAAGCCGTATCTTTAGAAATAATATTTACACATAGCGCTTAAACTAAACTTTCTAATAAATATTGTTATACGAGTTTAAAACAAAAATCAGATAAACGGTGAAATTTAATATATCTTTATTGATAGAATTTGTAATCGCCTGAAGTAAAATTTTATAATATTTTCAGTTAGCTGTCTCTCTTTGAAGGAGACAAACAGAGAGATGTCCATGCGCTGTCAATTATATACCGGAAAAATACGGTAAATAAGTCCAGGTGTAGCAATGTTTGTAACTAAATATGTCTTTTGAAAAAGCATCAAAAATGTCTCATATTTACATCGTGTCTTGAAGTCTTAAAATATTGTGTATTTACATTCTGTATTTACATGCTGAAGTTGAGATTGATACACATTCATACACTAAAGTGTAGTGTACGAGATTGATACACATTCATACACTAAAGTGTAGTGTACGAGATTGATACACATTCATACACTGAAGTGTAGTGTACGAGATTGATACACATTCATACACTGAAGTGTAGTGTACGAGATTGATACACATTCATACACTGAAGTGTAGTGTACGAGATTGATACACATTCATACACTAAAGTGTAGTGTACGAGATTGATACACATTCATACACTAAAGTGTAGTGTACGAGATTGATACACATTCATACACTAAAGTGTAGTGTACGAGATTGAAAACTGTAATTTACAATGATTTGGTCTGTGTAGGAATACAGCGTTGTGGGCGGAGTCTGTCTTACAAGTAATTAGCAAACGATTAAAATATTTATTTTTCTCTAGTAAACAGTGTTAAAAAATAGCAATGCGTTTTTGAAGAAAATTCAACTCTAGCTGATATCATTGTGAGATACTTACCAGAGGTGATATATCACAGTGAAGTATTTTACAAATGGAATCATATGACCAGTATTGTTATTAAAGTATGCTGTCAAAGATTAAAAACCTTTCTTTTTGAGACACCTGTATCATAAATTTTCCTTTTAAGCTGAACAAACTCAGTTTCTTTATATAGATTCTCATAATTTGTTTATCTCATTCATTTTAAATGCTGAATATCCTGGGTAAGCAATAAAACCTGTACTATCTCTTCTGAAATATCACTATTGGTCAAATAAAGTTCTACACATTTTCAACAATCAAAATATTCTTTTTCGATTCGATTAAATGTAAAACATGATTAACCCTTACTACTGAGAAACAGACCTGGATGTTTCTGACCGACTACGGTTTTATAAGCCACTCTATTAAAGAGTATATCAGTATACACCATTTTGAAGTCAGCTCGCCATAGGAAGAGGATAAACTTAGTTTTATTATCATTAAAGATTCTTCTCTATCTTACTCACGCCAGATTATTTTTTTCTGATGTCAACATTTCAATAATGAAATAAATCATTACCGAGTTGTTGATAAAGTCGGATTCTTGCTGGCTTGGCTGGTGAGGAAGATAAGGAGGCCTGAAAAAGATATAGTATGTAAATATACATAACTTTTGTACAAACGTACGGACCTGTGAGTATCGTGATATCATGTACACAAACCACAACGGGCTATAGGCCGCACAGCTTCCAAGATTTCAGGACTTGCATTTATGATATGTTAATCCTACTCATGTTTTGTTGGGATATACATGTGTTTGCGCGTGCGCGCGTGTGTGTGTGTGAATGTGTGTATTGCAAATACGTAGACAATTGCAGTATTGTCAAATGCAATAATAAAATGGTTATAGGCACGACCTAACAGAATACAGTGTTCAGTCATCTAAAGATGAATAGCATAGTTAGTGGTAAAAACAATCTGGAGAGCAAACATTTTTACACCACAAACAAGCACACGCTGTGTCAAATTAAATGTATGTGTACACAGAGAATGTTCTCAGTGTTTGTGGTTTAAACTTAAAACATGCATACTTTGTTGTCTGCATGGAAATTTATCTAATGGTCGTGTACAACATTTTAAATCAAACTCCATTTGAGGATACACAAGTATATGTCATATTGAAAAGAGTAGGAATTTACACAGTGTTAATACCTCAAGTTTGTTGTTGAATTTATTGTTACCCTAACCGTTTGATTTGCATTTCAGATCTCACAGGATGAGAGAGAAATAGAGAATTGATTCTCTTCGTTGTAACATTCCACAATCAAGTAACCAGAACATCAACGCAGCGATCCGGTAACAAAACAACTTAGAAAAAGGACAACAAGAAGTATACAATGGCCTTGTCAGTCCGCCTGTGCATCCTTATAGTGTTGACTCTGTTTTCATGCCAAGTGTCACCCGTCCAGTATCATACCCTAGATACACCTTTAGGAAAAGTAACTGGCCGACAAGTAAGTGTTGGGACAGAAGGTACAGTCTATGAATTCCTCAAAATTCCGTATGCAAAGCCACCAGTGAGAGAACTACGGTTCAAGAAGCCGGTACCCGTAGAAAGGTGGAGCAGCATACTTGACAGCACTGAACACGGACCGTCCTGCATACAAGACATTCCCACACATTTGAAGGTTGTCCTCACAAACAAGGATATTTCGGAGGACTGTCTACATCTCAATGTGTACACCTCTGGAGGGTTCGCTCCGACAACTAACAAAAGTGTTATGGTATTTTTTCATGGTGGTGGATACGTAAATGGCCAGGCCCAATTATACGATGGCTCAGGGCTGGCTTTGGATGGTGACGTAATTGTGGTTGCCGCGAATTACCGACTTGGTGTTCTTGGTTTCTTCAGCACAGGTGATCCTGTAGCCAGAGGAAACTATGGTCTTTGGGATCAAATCGAGGCACTTAAATGGGTGAAAAATAATATAAGATCTTATGGTGGAAATCCAAATTCTGTCACGATCTTCGGTGAATCCGCTGGAGGGTTTAGTGTCTCACTTCTCTCGCTCATACCAGAGAACAAAGGTTTGTTCCATCGAGTGATCATGCAGAGCGGTACATATAACTCTTCCTATGCACTCAGAAGAAATCCGAAAGGCTTTGCCATCACCTTTAGCTTCTTGGCTAAATGTAAAAATTTAATATCCTCACAACTCATGCTTGATTGTGTCCGGAATATTCCAACTGATCGTATCTTGCAAGCACAGAAAAGCGCAATTAATGTAGGATATCTTGCCGCTGATAGTTTATTCACTCCGCCACTAGCCCCCGTCATTGATGGTGACCTTATTAAAACTAACCCTGCCGTGGCTGTGACGAACACCTCTTCTGACGTGTACAAGTTTTTCCAGTCTCTGGACATAATTGCTGGCTGTGTCAGTGCAGAAGGATCTCTGATCCCGAGCTTTTTGTTGCCACCTATGGAAGATATTTACTCCTTTAATACTAGTGAAGGTGTACCAATATCTTTATTTCGTACCTATTTTGCCCGCGTTGTTACGGAAAACATATACAATAACCATAGCAATGTTCGAAAGGCAATTGTCGACAAGTATGGTTCAAGTGACAAAAGAGTCCAAGGAAGAAAAGTCGTGGACATGTATGGTGATGTGTTCTTTTATATGCCAATGATTAAGACATTGGATATACATTCCTTAAACAATAAAGTCAGTCAATCTTTCCAGTACCTGTTCAGTGAACCAAGTCCTGTCCCCATATCTGGAAAAGCACTGCCAACTTGGTTTCATGGTTCCGAACACGGAGCAGATTTAGTGTTCCTATTCGGTAAAGAAGAGCTTCAGCAATTGAACATCAGCATTTCCACGTCTACCAACAACTTTGTAAAACAGTTTAGAACCTACTGGGCTAACTTCGCCAAATACGGGTAAACATGTGTTATATATATTGTATCTATTTTAATCTTTGCATAGGGCTTTATCATTTATTTAATGTCGGTACGCTTCAAGGTAAAAAAAACACCATTGTAAATTATTTAAAGTAAATTCACAGCAATATGCGAACATGAGTATACATTGATTTTGAATTGTATTACAGAGACCCTAACACGGGAGAAGAGGAGAGTACAGTCTGGCCGGAGTATGATTCAGTAAACCGTACTTATATTGACCTGGCAGTATCATCCATCACCCAACAGACCAACATGTTCCGAGATCGAGTGAAATTCTGGGAGAAAGATTTACCACTGATAGCAAGCACTTACGTCACAGACGGAACTACATCCCTAGCTACAGCCAAATGGACTTTAATCATTATGCTAATTCTCCAGCTATTATTCCGTAGTCGTTGAATGTCAAGTGGTAAATTTAGCGTGACGGCTATCATAATGTGTGAAAAAACCTATTCTACTATAATCTGAAATCGGAAGATAGCTACAGTGTGTTTGTCGTAATGTGTTAGATGTGTGATTGATTTGTTTGTTTAAGGGTCAACAAAACACCTTGTGGGTATTTGAATGACTCAGGATCATGTTCAAATTTAATTTCAAAATGTTGACATTCATTTATTATTGTGCATTTCCATAATATCCATTTTCTAACTGTAACAGTTTTCCAAAACGCAAGATAAAATTCATATTGAAATTATCCTCAAACTAACCTGTCAATAGTAGAGAAGGTCAAACTCAGTAAATAAAGTATTATACAATCATTATGATCATACACTGATACTGAATGATGATGGTGATAAATATTAGTACTGAAGGTACAAGTAGGCAAATAATACAGTTCAGAGTTTGATTAGGAAATGCTACCTTACAGGACTTACAGGACCTACAGGACCTTGTGAATATAATATACCCTTTATTTCGGACAAAGAACATATATAAATATACATTTTGTGAAATGAAGCATATTACTTATAATACTTGCAAGATCACACGTTTCTGAATTTTGTCTTATTTATATACCGATGTAGACACCAACCAGATACTAATTATATATAATAAGCTAAATTTGTGCCCTAAATTTTGAATATTAACCAAAAGCCAAAACACAAAAATCATTTTAAATGTCACAATGTTTCGACAGATCATAGGATAAATACACCTACTCTCTGACACGAATGATATAGGTACATTTAAGCGCGAGTGTGTGAATTTGTATATACACTTCTTTTGTGCAATGCGGTTTTTTTTTATACAAATCCGTCAAGCACATTATATATGAATTGTACATTTCATTAAAGATCGTTATTTATGTTTGATTACTTTGCAATTGTAGTGTTTGCCACAAATATTATCCTTTGTTTTTCAGTCAATGTCTAAAATTAATGAAATTTTTTCTTGTGTAAGTAATTATTTTTGTTTGTTCATTGGTAGACGAGTACGATGATAAACAAGTCGCTAGCTTGATATAAATTTTCGATAGATTGCACTAATTTATTATTATGTACTTTTTAAAACGCCACTTCAATTTCTTTATATTAGAATTTGTGCTCAAATTACAAGTCATTTGCTTGTCATATACATGCGTTGAATAAAAGGAGACTCGATCACCCAGGGTTACCCCATCCATCGTACATATGATTATATTAGTATCAGAATCGGTCCACTATTGAATATGATATTTGAATCGTAATGATATATCTTTATCATACATTAAGTTTGGATAAAGAAATATCATACTCATTGGAAACAGACAATAACATACTGAGCAATGACCAGAAACGATTTAGGTGTACAAAATCATCATAATGGGTCAATGAAATGTGATGTTATAAATCCTGTGACATTGTTCATACAGTAAATTATTTAAGACAGTGATGTACACCTCAAGTACTCAACCTCATAACATCCTTTACAATGCCTTTAAAGTCTTATGTGAGCTTAAGCTTTCCTTCGTCATTTTCACGCTGTCTATGCTATGAAATGTAAAAGTTTTACAAGTGCGAAACACGATTGTATTTTCCTACTATATATGTGTAACAGATGTAGTGTCCAATGAGAACACTACACTTGTATAAAATTCAGATGCAAAATGTGAGGACATTTGCATCTGGATGTTTTGACGCCAAACTAAAATGATGCCGAAAATGTGTGTGATTTCCTCTTCGCATTAACATGTACTTTTCTATGAAAATCTATCGTTTCGTTTATTATCAAGTAGTATAGGTTAATAAATTGTCGGCTACTCGGTAGAGAAGTGGTTTATCAGATCAACCTCAATTTAATCAAGTATCGCTCCGTCTGTCTTTGATGAAAAGTATGTGTTATAATCCAGTGCGAAGACAACTTTCTGATGTATTTACGTAAAGATATAAATCTTTCATTGGAATCTGTCATTAGTGACATTTCATTATTTAAACAGTAGTGAGCACTCGTAAAATATTTTTGAAGGTGTAATGTATTCATGTTTCAACAAAATCACACATCTGATGTATTTTATCTCTACTGATGAAGTATGCGCTGGGAGAACCCAGCTATCTATAATAAGTATATCACGTCTAACCCAATACCGCTAGGTGAGATTGGTGAGGAAGCTGTGCCTCTCATCTATCTTCCCTCGCGTGTGTTTTTATCTTATTTCATTTTCATCTTGTTTTGTAATCTTGTCGGTGTATGCATTTTAGGCCCAAGTCAAACATTCGCTCGACTTAATTAAGTAACTGTGATATTACTACACCCCTGGTCATGTCTGTATTGCTTCTTCACGTATTGATTTACACAAAATCTATAGCTCTACTGCCAGAGTTGGTACTTTATCAGGAAACGCCATCTATGTAAGGGATTACTCCTTGGTATTCCATAATATCAACTAGCCCGAATTTTAGATGGTGCGTGTACATAGCACTCAATATTACAACTGTAATATTTAACAATGACGATAACGATCATAACATTTACTATATTAAACTGAGCTTTGAAAAGTTAAAATAATAATAAAAAAGAAAAGATCCAGCATTTAGAGATGAAAATATAAATATCATTGACCATGCACAAGAGAATCACTTGGCAAGACAATAACAGCAATGCAGCAGTGATCTTGATCATGAAAACTAAACACCGACAATATTAGGTATTTACACGTTTATGTACAGATCTTAAAACTTATTATCAACTCTACCACACATGCATCATTCAACAGGATAGTACACGTGATGTTAAACCATAGCAGTGTGCACGTGATCATATAATCTGGAAATACAAATAATGGTACAACATGGCAGTACGTGCGATTGTTTTTACAATATATTGCACGTAATAATACAATACGACAATACAAGTGATCAGACAATATTATAGTACACATGATCAGACTATATGACAATACTCGTCATGCTACAATATTATAACAGTACACATGAACTTTCAATATTGCAGCACATAGGATTTTACAATATGCCAATACACATGGTATATGTATGTGAATCCACCTAACGCCTCAATTCTAGTGTATATATGGTACATGAACCATGACATAACAAACCGTCTGAGGACATTCGTATTTTCAATCAGTGTGTTGCCTGGTGTTTGATCGACAGTAAGCTAGTGGAAGTTTATCTGCCTCCGTAGACACACGTGGTTACATTTGCGTGTGCCTATCTGCTCACTGACTTGCTCCCCTGAGACATGAAAGGTATCACACTGCTTAAGTGATTTAACAACTCTCCTTTCAGCATTATGTACACGTAAATAGGGAAGAATATTTCGGGTATTTTCCGTTTACTTACATCGTTATACTTCCTTATCATCAATCAAAAACTAAGAGGTGAAGATAACTTTAATTAATCAGCATGACGGATAGAGAATAAGTATATAATTTTAAATGTAAACAAGAATTTTGACCCGGAGTCCTGTATTCTTGGTTTGTTTGTACGTAGCTACTGACCGATCACAATACGTTCATTTGCATACGTTCTCTGTTATCGCAACTTTCAAAGCTTACATTAATCAATTTGATATAAATATCCGAAACAGTAAAAGCTTACTTACAATTCTTGTGTTTTATTTTGCATTGAAACATATACTTGTATAAATCACCGATTTCAATGTAGAGATGTACAATCGAAAATATATCAACAAAGGAAGCATTCAACATCTACTCGGAATACCCTGTTCTTATTTTGCCCTAGTTGCTTCAGTTTGATGTTTCAATTCTAATTCTTTTAAATGTCGATATTTTCGGTGTTGTTTTCGAACAGAAGTAAGTGGTGATAATGAAGGATGTTTGTTTTAGTTATGAATAATGCTATTTTATTACTGTGTGATAAATCGTGTTCAGGCAGGCTGTTAATAAGGTCAAAGATGATCGTAAACTTCTTATCATATAAATATATAAATATAACATTTGTGTATGTTATTATTAAACGTGTCAATGATTACAGTGTTTCTCATATTTCAAGTTTTCAATATTATTTATTGATTTATTTGCAAATTATTACATACGGTTTATAATTATTTGGAGCCGTAGATTCAAATTCAGTCTTTACAAACAAATCTTGAATTGATTAGAAACTTTCTTGTATAATACAATTATTTCAGGCTGGAATGCGAGGAAAGTATCATAATAGGGAGGACAAACGGAGAACTTGGCGAAACCTTATGTTGTCAATCAGGAAACCGCAATACCGCTTTAGTACCAATTCAATTTCAAGGGAGAGTGCTTTTGTAGGAAAATATTAGTATAGATACGATGTAACCTCAACTGTGATATACAATTCTTTTTCCATAGTGATTATATTAACGCATACCGTATATGATATTTATCATATAGTGATCAGACTGATTTTCAATTTATCACTTTGCATGATGAATACGTCGCTACCAAGTTACTCACAATCATATACACATCACATACCTATATACATAGATGTTTAACAATTGTTATGGTGAATTCTATTTAAATGTTAAGAAGAGTGTATATTTTATTTTCCATGTTGCGTAAAGACACCTGTGGAAAGTGCATACCGCTGCAGGGAAACATATATCTCTAAAAACAATCAGTGTTCTTGTGTCGAAAAAATTGTCACTTTCATATTTTTTCTTTAACAAGCTTTAACCTAACTTTAATGTTTAAAGTAGACCAAAGGAACAGTACTAAAAGGAACAAAAACTTACATCTTATGATATCAATATCGAAGCACATACAGCAAAAGATGAAGGACACTGAAACAAATCGTCACTGCAGATGTGTTTACACAATCGGGTTATCTACCTGTGATAGGCATTTCCATTCAGACAACGAGGCACTGGCTGTTGGTGACTACTGCTATTCGTGGTAAGTAAGGCGTCGTCAGGTGATTCTTTATACCAGTGATTGTCATAAATATTATATCAGAAATGTAATGAGATAAAAAATATGTAAAGAAAACGTATTGTCAAGAAGTGATAAAGCAATACACAAATCCAGTGAAATTATGAGAAAATAGTATATTTTGGGTCTATACTATCAAATATAGATTTTTATTATTAAAAAAGAATCTGTCGTTCTACCTTTAACTCCTTTCTATCAGCTTTTCTTTCTTTTTAACAAATTCGTCATTCGCGATAACATAATGCACTCAATTAAGTGTATTAACATCAGTGTCATAGTAAGTAACATCGATATGTCAGGAGAATTAATGATATAACGATATGTAAGTTAAGCATGTGGAGTTCAAAGTAAATGCAAAACATTAAGAATGAACACGAAGTATAATGGCAATGCTTGCGTACTATTATTTATAAAAGAAACAAATTTGTTTAAAGTAACAAGGCCATCCAAAGAACACAAATATTCACCCACAAAGATAACACTGAGTAAGCTTGAAAAGTTTAGAAAGAAACTTGAGCTAGACAGCATACATTACCCTCATTGATTATGAATTTCGTGGAGAAGTCATATACGATCAGCGACACTAGGTAGTTTGCATGCTTAATGGTATTGATTTTTTAACTTTATCACAACGGCACATTTTGTTTTGTTTCCTTTTTCTGTGAAGAAATGTCAAAGAATATTATCAAAACCGCAAAATGTAGGTAGCATACAGATGATCAGATCAAACAGCTTTCAACACAATCAATTTCTGCTACGCGAATTGATTTTCTTAAATAATTTACAAATTTCTCGTAATCGCTTATTTAATCTGTTAAGATAAAACATGCTTAACAATAGTTATCTGAAATACTTATCACAAGATAGCGAATGTTTACGTGGCCCAGAATTTGACGCGTTTGATAAATCCGATATCATAACAGAAGACCACGGCATTATAAAGGCTTAATCTTTGTAAAAGGCGTACCCCATCTCTTCTCAATTTGTTCATTTTCATGCAATGTCACATGTTGTCCAAAATAGAAACTTTTGAATAATACTTTAAGAAAAAGGGGGACGATTATCCACTACATTTACCAGCTTGTTAGGTTATTTTTAAAGTTTTCTTCTAATTTGTCTTCAGCTCAAACAATATTATAAAAAAACACATTTCTGCAAGTCTATGTCATTGAAAAACTAAAACCATTTTGTTCTCTTCCAGAAGAATGACGATTGCCGTAAGATGGTTGTTGCAAGTGATATGTGTACTTGCCATCGCGTCAACAATGACAAGATGCATGGATACAAAGACTATCGTAACACCGTCTGGGAAGATAATGGGTCTAAAGGTTGACATAGAAATATTACAAAACTTTGTGTACCAATTCCGTCGAATTCCTTATGCCAAACCTCCTGTTGGTGACCTGCGATTTGCCAAGCCACAACCGATTGAGCCCTGGACAAACACTTTAAATGCCACATATTTCGGACCGAACTGTATGCAGACTATAAGTAATCCAAACAGCCCGCTACTACCAAACAGAATATTATCTGAAGACTGTTTAGTGCTGAATGTGTACGTACCACCTAATACGACAGAAAGCAGCAAGAAGCCCGTGATGTTTTACATCCACGGCGGGGCCTATGTGGAAGGCACGGGTATGTTCTACGACGGCTCATACCTTTCAATCCACGGAGACCAAATTGTTGTTACCATAAATTACCGGCTAGGTATGTGGGGCTTTCTCACGACAGCTGACAGCCATTGCCCTGGAAACTTCGGTTTGTGGGACCAGCGACTAGCTATGCAGTGGACCAAAGACAATATTAAGGCATTTGGTGGCGATCCTGAACTTATTACAATCTTTGGAGAATCGGCAGGTGGCTCTAGTGTCGCCATTCATTCTATATCGCCAATCAACAAGGGTCTGTTTAAAAGGGCAATGGCTCATAGTGGCACGGCTAACTCATTATGGGCCGTTGCAGAAACTGGCTTTGCGAAAGTATCACAGGTTGGGACCGGTATTATTCTTAAATGTCTTGATGTTGCAAATAGTGTCAGGTTTTTAGAATGCATGAGAAAGAAGAGTGCTGAAGAACTACTGGAGGCTTCAGTAAGGATTGCGAACATTACATTTAGTGACGTACATCAGCTTCACTATGCAATACCATTAGCACCCATTGTAGACGGTGAATTTATCATGGATCTTCCTGCAAAAATCTTGAATGATCCGTCCAGTCCAGGAATGCAGTTTTTCCGATCCCTTGATTTTGTAGACGGTGACGTGAATTCAGAAGGGTCTCTGATTTTCCAAGAACCGCTTTATTCTTTTCAACAATCACATAATTTCAACTTATCAGATGGTATTCCCTACAAAATATTGTGTGAAAATATCATCGAAACCTTTATAAAGGAGTATTTCCATAACAACCGAACCCTGAGAAATGTTGCCTGTGCCAGGTATAAGTCGACGAGCGGGGACGGTGTCGAACAGAGTCGTCTTGCAGTTGACTTTTATAGTGACGTTAACTTTTTTACACCTGGAGTGTTGACACTGAACGCACATGTTGGTGGCGCTGGTAGTACTTATCAGTGGTTGATGTCTCGAATGAGCAGATTTGGCTTCGGTTGGCCTTACCCGAACTGGTTTAGTGGAGCGGGACATGCAGGAGAAGTTGCGTATTTGTTTGGGATTGAGAGGAATCCAGATATCGTCTCTCCAGATAGAAACCTAGCAGAACAGATGATGTCGTACTGGTCCAACTTTGCAAGAAACGGGTAAGTCCTACTGATCAAGGTTGTCATGACATTGACAAGTCGAATGCAGAAAATAAGAAAGCTGTTGACACTGTCCGAAAGTACAATAGAAACTGCTTGAAAGGTAAGGATCATAAAAAGGTCGAGAACAAAACACTTGGTATCGGTCCCATGAAGGACAATATGCAATTTGCAGATAGTGTTCAAACACTCCCCGAACATACATGAAAAGATAGGGAATCAATTGCCCGACCAAGTATGGTTTCCACGGGTCCTCCGGTTTCCTTCCATAGTACCCACGCGCGCTTACATTTGGTGAAACAAGAGTGATTGTTATCAGTTGAACTAACTTGTTTCGAAAATATTGTTAAAGAAATAAAGCTCACATTACATTTTTTTCTCCTAAGACATTTTTGCATACGAATTCATAATTGGCCTTTTCATGGAGGTCTTTTTGTTTAAGAATTTTACATTGTTCCTTAAGTTGGAGTTAAGAAGTGTCCACTAACAGATTGAAACAGCTTCTGTTGAATATGTCCTTATTGAATGTATCATCATAATTAAAAATGTCTTTGGTTATACTTCCTCTCTAAAGAATTGCCATAAATGAAGATAACTGCATTTACCTGAAGGCGACTTTGTTCCACAACAATATGACATATTTCGTTGACTTAATATTGGTTTTTCTTTACGGTTGCAGAAACCCTAACAACGGATTGCCTGTGAAAGTCCAATGGCCAGAATACGATGTCCAAGGTCGTCGTTATATAAGTCTGAACGCGACGATAAGTGTTGAGGAGGCATTGTACAAAGATAGAGTGACTTTTTGGGCACCAGTGATGCCTAAGGACTAGAACGTGAAATCAGTGTCGTCTGTTCCGTTACTATATGCTTCTTAGTTATTGTCACCTCTTTGTTTTACTCTCCGCTCTCACACGTCATGGTTGATACAGTGCACACGTCTTTACCCCTATTAAACAGTTCTGTGTATTAACACTTGTGTTGAATTGTTTATTGACTGTAAGCCGACTACTAATGCAAATAGCAAACATTTATAACAGAAATGTGTTATACACTCTGTGAAGCTTGAAATATGAACAAAACACAGTCAAGTTTTCCTCGATCTAAATCCACACTTCAAAACTGACATTACAGGTATGTTATTGTCCTGGAGATAAGGCGTCCTATAATTTAATCCTTACCAGCAAAGATTATTACAATTTTCTGCAAACAAAAAGAACGAGTGTGCTGTCTTTATATAGGATTTGCATAGTGTTGTGACACCTATAAGCCCTACTGGGTAGTCAATAGTTTTAGAGTTATCGCCCTTGGCAGGTTCTCAGAAGAACTGTAAACCGAAAGCACGGTACTATACATTTCACCAAGTTTCACACTCATGGAGATCCACACAGTGTAAGTGATACAAATAATAACATTCTGGGATTTTATACGAGTGTATAGATACTTGATGTCGACCATATATTTGTCCCATTTCAATCGAAATCAGATTTGTGTTTAACTCAAAACATCTGTATGGCCTATCGTAGGTTAGTTTACTGCAAATTACTGCATCATGTAATGTATTAAATACTTTGTTGTTTTTATGAAATTACAGGAGTGTAATTGTGGAATTTGAGATTCCAACGTTAATTGTCTCCACAACGAGAACACGTCGTTGTTCTAATTTTCGCTCTTATTATTGTGAGAAATACCATGGTATTCATTATCATTTGGTGTCTTGCAGTCCGTCAGTCATGACAGTACAAGTATAGTTAGTCTTTATGTATAACATTGAATTTGAAACATTTTGGTTAAATTTTCACGTCTAATCAAAGTACTGAGAGTACTGAAATCCACATTTTGTACTCAGTCATTTGAATATCTGTTATTTTGTATTTCCAGCTTTTACTATATGTGAGTTTACATATGAAAAGGATTTCTTGGAATATCTAGTAAAGTCTTATCTGTTACGGAGAGACTTGGTTTTGTGTGTAACAGAACAACGAGGCTTGCTTGATAACGAAGGAAACCCCACCTATGCAATATGCAATTGCTGCAAAGATGAAATAATGGCTTAACAAAAACGCTTCGGTACTACAACTATTTAGACTGCCTGATAATGATACGGACCTCCCCCATTTATATTTGATTCCTAAGCTTCAAAATAATCAATGTTAGCAACGTTTTATTTCTGACTTGTCTAGCTGTTCAACCAAGCCTTTGTGAAAACAGCTCGCAACCATTAGTACTATCAAATTTGGGTTATAATCTTATTGTAATACTGTGACCAATCTTCAACACACTCTTATTAAAACGTTTCTTTTAGAAAATCGTTTGTTTTTCCCATCCCATTCAAAACTGAAAGGACGTATTCATTCTCTTGTTACGAGAACTTTCTTCTCCAAGAAAGGCGAACGGCGGTATGGATATATGGTTGTGAGCTATAATGAAGCGTATTTCGTTAAAAGAGAGAAAGATATGCCCAAATCAAAGAAGAAATATACGAAGGACGAAATCGTAAAAATTAGTTTGGTGGTAAGATCTTTCAATAGACTATCGGCCTGGTAACTAACTGTGCTCCTTTGCCGACTGACTTGCTGAATCGTTTTGAAAAGCTTATCAAACCAGGTCGGAAAGACCTGACGAAGTCGTCTAATTTCACTTTTAAATTTATTGATGACGTCTTGTTTTCTCTTCTACGTCAAGCGATTATCCAGATATTTTCCTACAACGATACCAACATGAACAGCTTTCGTTTGATAAATGTGGTGATTTTGAATTTTCCTGCCGTGAATTTTCTATTTGTGGATAGCAACCTCCCAAGCCTATGGTGTTTACATGTCGCAATTGATTTGATATTCAAGAGCGTGTTCTCACTACCACGATTTACCAGATTGGTAAAATTATGCGGAAGTTTTACGGTCGTCATAGGGATCTCATTGTGAAATATTCCGTTTTGTCTTTGAGGTATGAAGCTCGTGTTTTCTTATTTGAAAAAAGTGGCATTACTTATTTGGATTGACCAAGTTTCACATGGGGGGTGTGGTCAGTGAAGCAGAAGGCGCTTACTCCTCCGGAACATATGGTCTTATTATCCTTGTACTTCGTAATTCTCCGTATAAATCTTTCTTTTGTTTTGCCCTAGTTTTATTGACTTTGAGTTTGGATTTTGATTATGTTGATATGTTTGAGTTTATGAAACTCTGAGTATGTGGCAGTCAATAATCGTAGCTAGGAATATCTCATTGTAAGAGAGAGAACAACGGATTTCCTAAATACCTTTTTGTGATATCAATTACTTTTTGTTTTTTTATTAATGAATCATCTGCACCAACAGGTTTCCTACAACGAAGTTTAAATCAGTGATTGAAACTGTAACACGGAGGATACGAGTTAAACATTTGATCCCACTACCTGCAACTCGTATGTCTTTAGATAATAGATACTTCATTTAGACATAAGCTCATATCTTATGAAACAAAACATTTTAGAATGGGCGAGCAAAACATGTTTTAAAGTCAAAATGTGAAGGACAAAATTCAACGTTGGTAGCTATTTTGTTTTGCTATTTTAGTTCATAGGGTAACGCCATTGTCGATATAATGGCATCATAAATCATTTCTGTAGCGACCAATGAAAAACGCTCACAGTGTATATTACACAAGTGACAAATATACCAAAGGAATACACGGGCAAATTCGCGGGATAACAAGCCGATGTTGTGTTTTTATACAGTTTGGTTATAAAAAGTGCACGGTGAATTAGCGCAATATATTAGACGTATTTTTTAATTCCTTTGTATGACAAGAGTTAGAAACTACAGGTTGCTAAAATAGAGAAAAAGATTATCTCAGTTATTGCAAATAATGAAGTCACTTGTTATATACAGCTATGAGGAGTTTCAGCTGGCGATAACCAAGCGATCAGGATACGTAGGGCATCCTACATCCTGACCGCTTCATAGTCACCATAGTGGTGGGGCACTCGTCATTTGATAGCGAGCGAAACCACCTACTTCATGCAAAATAATCAGCAAAGAAACTCGATTTGAATGATAAAAAATTTTGTTTTAAAGATAAAATTGTTCAACGGGAAACATAATCAAGTTCCCGTTATGAAGAATATCTGCTGGCGATAACCAAGCGATCAGGATACGTAGGGCATCCTACATCCTGACCGCTTCATAGTCACCATAGTGGTGGGGCACTCGTCATTTGATAGCGAGCGAAACCACCTACTTCATGCAAAATAATCAGCAAAGAAACTCGATTTGAATGATAAAAAATTTTGTTTTAAAGATAAAATTGTTCAACGGGAAACATAATCAAGTTCCCGTTATGAAGAATATCATGTACCATAGGTCGAATATTGTTGACAACCATATGCGGTCCACAGACAACAGACCCTTCTCAGTGTAACCTTTCGAGACTAAAAGCATTAGTTGGCTCTTTGTCAGTATATAGTAAATATCCAATATAACAACAGTGGATCATTCGCCAGTTTAACTTGACTTGACCATGAACAACTAGGGATATTTCGTACGTGTACCATAGTGTGACCCATAAACAGTGGACCCTTCATCAGTATACCCTAACGTAACCAACAGACAGCGATGGAACCTTCAGCCGTGCACATAATGTAACCCGCACCCCCCTCCAACCCGCAACCCCCCCCCCCACCCAAAAAAAAAAAAAAAACAAAACAAAACAAAAATGGACCCTTCGCATTATAACATAATTCCATTAACAAACAAAGGGCCATTATTGTCATACTTTTACGTGACCCATGAACAAAATTGTGTCGTGCGTCATTTTATCTTTGCGTTATCCGCAACAACACTGTACCTGTAGTTTGTGAAATGTCAGTGTAACCCACGTGTTGTTCATACAACGGTTCAGAGTTAACTACGTCAGTGTATCCTGATGTGGCCTATATCAATACAGGTGGTCCACTAAGAAACATTTGACCAGAGTTGAGTCGATGACGGCGATAAGTGTTGACGAGTCGTAAGTACATTTGCATATTTGTACACTTACTATCATATCCGCAATGTCTTCACACGGATTCCCAACCCACTGTCCATACATATTAGTAACAAGGATTGTAATAATATACCTTTTTGTTTTGATTTTCTAAGGCCGTAGTTCCTTCAATTCCTTAAGGGAAATGTTTGATCTGTCTAATGAGCGTTTGATGGACGAGATCCGCCAAATATTGACCAAGTCATGACCTGAAGTAATGGCTCGGTAGACATTTCCCTGTCTGGTTGAAACGTCCTCTCGTCTCCAATGGGTAACTCAATAACTATGCCGTAATCACAACATCTACGCTATTGCTGGTATGCAGTACCCATGACAGTGTCAACATATCATGTCCTTTAAGGCTGTCATGTCACGTACGTTGTGGCAATTCCAAATTAACATCAAAGAGTTCACTTTCTTCAACATTAGTTTTCATTTCAACGATGTTTGGTGGACACCATACCAAGATTTAAAATTTTCTTATAAAATAGATCAATGTTTAAAAAAGATTGACACATTGGATTATTTTATTGGAATTTCAGCGTTCAAATTTTCACCCCTTAAAAAGCCGCCGTTATAAAATGGGATGTACAATATACATCCCTGATATAAACAAATAAGAAAATGTAAAAATAAAGTATATGTATGATTATTCCATCACTTTCAATGAAAACTGTTACTAGTAGTTGTGGAACAAACATACCATATGTACACCATCCATTTAAAGTTGACTGTACGTCTGTCACTATCTAATTAAGGACACAATACAAACGTTATAGAAATGGGTTAACGTAAACACTTGTTTTAATATCATAGACGATAGCTTGAAATGT